TGTTTTACTTTATAGTGATATAGCAAAGTTTGGTCTAGCTAATATAGTTTAAAAAAATATGTAAGTATAATGTTTTACTTTATAGTGATATAGCAAAGTTTGGTCTAGCTAATATAGTTTAAAAATATGTAAGTACAATGTTTTACTTTATAGTGATATAGCAAAGTTTGGTCTAGCTAATATAGTTTAAAAATATGTAAGTACAATGTTTTACTTTATAGTGATATAGCAAAGTTTGGTTCAGCTAATCTAGTTTAAAAAATATGTAAGTACAATGTTTTACTTTATAGTGATATGGCAAAGTTTGGTCTAGCTAATATAGTTTAAAAAATATCATCCAATGAAATCATTTCCTACTTACCTTTTTCTATTCCTAATGTCAGCATGTAATTGTTAAAAAAAAAGAAAGGTCAATAAAAACTCTTCATAGTCTTCACTCAGACATTAACGATACAGCAGATTTTAAAGAACTTATTAAATTTGTAAGCTTTTATATCAAAACACAATTAACTTCTCATGCAGAAGCTGCCTATTGTCAAAACAAGTGATTAGTTTATAAACGAATGAATACTTATTGATGATTCAATGATTGAGATATTACTAGCAGTGTAAAACTGAAAGACACAAGAAAGAAGTGGATAAGATAGAGATATACTTCAGTTCTAGCAACATAGCAATGGTAAACACAATCAAGAAGTGGATAAGACAGTTATATTTTAGTTGTAGCAACATAACAATGTAAAACACAAGCAAGAAGAGAATAAGACAGAGTTATATTTTAGTTGTAGCAACATAACAATGTAAAACACAAGCAAGAAGAGAATAAGACAGATATATTTTAGTTGTAGCAATATACAATGGAAAACACAAGCAAGAAGAGAATAAGACAGATATATTTTAGTTGTAGCAACATAACAATGTAAAACACAAGCAAGAAGAGAATAAGACAGATATATTTTAGTTGTAGCAATATAACAATGGAAAACACAAGCAAGAAGTGGATAAGACATTAACCTTTACAAAAATGAATGGGTGTAAAGAGCTAACCTTGTGTGCTGTAGTCAGTAATAAGATTCAGAAGAAAAACTAAAAAACTTAAAACTATTAATTTAGTTCAAAAATCATATCATTCAAAAAAGTAAGTGTTTATTTCATTTTTAATTCAAAGCTACACAATAGGCTCTATCCATCATGAGAAGTCACTCCCCTGGTTTTAGCATTGTAAGTCTGTAAACTTATCACTGGTTAAATGGGGGGCCAATAAAGAATTAATTAGTTTTAAAACACATGACTTGTAAAAGTTAATGTAATCAGATGCATATCTATAAACTATAGTAAAGTGTGTAATATTAAGAGTACGAGTTAAAAATTATTCACTACATGTAAGAAACATAATTGTTGAGAGTGTATGCCTGTATAAGTACATTCAGGTAAAAACATGAAGATATGGACCACAAAATATAATTTCAGCCCACGATTCAAGAAATTTCTGCTAATGTTAAGTTTAGAAAGTAATCAAAACAAACCACACTCTTGTACTTGAACATTGGAATTACTATTAAAAAAACAAAACTACTATTTAATATCGTGTTAAAAGACTTCATAATTTCTTGTTTCTCTATTACTTGAAGCAGCACTGAGCTTTAAAGAGTGCCCCCAATATTTCCAAAATAACATTTTTCAAATTTAGCCTAACTTGAAAGTGGTAATTAAACTCGTAACAAGACAATTCGTGGAGATTTTTGAATTTTAGAAAATCAAGTTATGGAAGAGTGTAGTATCAACAAGTTGCTAAATTTCATGCTGATATTGGCTTTAATGGTGAAGTGGAAACGGAATGAAAACTAACTAAATTTTATTTTAAATCACTTACTACAGGTTAATTAGTAAAGATTTTAAGACAAAAATTAGTTATTTACATAGAAAAAAGGTTAAACAACGAAGGCATTAAATACAATTAATTGCCCATAGCTCGTCAACATTCCAGAAAATTTGCAAAGTTTTTAATTCAAGCTACAAGGATGTTGACACAGGACATGTGTATCAATTTTCACATGTTTGTATCATTCTTAAGTAAATTTATGATGTTAAAACAGTTTATGTTATGTATTTCTTTATCCCTGCCACATCAATTATACATATGACATGCGTAATTGAAAGTGTACTTTCAGAGATCGTGACATGATACTTTTGTGCTCAACTAGAAGGTTATAAGAAGTGTTTAACAGTGTTTCCTCAGCATGTCCAGTTTTAAGGATCAGGGTTACCTTAAAGATAATTTTCTAATATAAGAACTTTAGTATTAACTCGATAAAGTTCTTCCTAGTTTAGTCATGAATATTATTATATAACAAACTATTATCAAACTGTACAAAACTAAACTTTTGCAACAGAATATACAGGAAAGTTGGGCTCAATTCCAATTGAATTATCCTACTTTACGTTACATTAAAAAAGTTGTTTTTATTCAAACGCAGTGAAAAGTCAGGGGTAAATGTCTTTCACGGACTCATTTAAAATAGGTTTGCAAGATCCTTGTACCAAAATTTAATCTAGCATTTATAACATTCAAATATTTTTTGAAATATGAAGTAATGTCTCACTTGTAAAGCTGAACGTAGATGAACGCCTTCTGTTATGGCCAGATGGTTGAAGTTATTTGAAAACGTACTCTGCATGAATGTAGCAACCAATACCACAACTGATGTCACATAGCCATTTTTCAGGAATTCCCAAGTTGTTGGGTGGTAACGCTACCAAAGAATAATTTTGATAGAATTATGCATACGTTTATAATGAAGTTATAAAAACAATATCAAGCTATTCCTTTATTGATTGATTTTCATTAACATATATCATGCTATATGAAAAATTAACATTACATGTGCCATATTAAATGAATAACTATGGATAAATACCACAAAAGAAATTTTCAAACTGGAGGCAAAATAGACAATACTCTGTATAGAAAACAACATAACATAATATCTCATTTGATTGATTACAACTCTGACTTTCTATTGGTTATAAATAATATAGTATAAAACGTCAGAGAGAACTACTGGTAATTTGTGAAAAGAGGATGTGACAGATGTGCATGACCATGGCTATGTAAACATATAAGATTGAAGGCTATAAAAATTATGCTTTGTCTTAGCAATATCTATATTATAATGAATAATTTACTTTAAATTCCATACTACCCAGAGGAATGGTAAATAAATTTGAGAAGATGGAAGACCTACAGAACAAATGTCAAAATTCTCATACTAGGGGAGATTGGGGATTTTTTAAATATTTTGTTATGAATTTTAAAATATATATAATATTAAAATTTGATTAATTAACTATGTTATGATGCCAGATTTATTCATGTAAAATTATAATACAGTAGTTTAATTAAATTTTGAACATAACTCTCTAAAAGGTCATGACATGCACATTTTGACCTACCCATAGCAAGAGGGTTAAACAACTCCGATACAAAACATCCACACATCCTACGATGCCCCGATACAAAACAAGGACACATCCAACAATGCCCCGATACAAAACAAGGACACGTCCAACAATGCACCGATACAAAACAAGGACACATCCAACGATGCCCCAATACAAAACAAGGACACATCCAACAATGCCCCAATACAAAACAAGGACACATCCAACAATGCCCCAATACAAAACAAGGACACACCCAACAATGCCCCAATACAAAAACAAGGACACATACCAACAACTGCCCTAGATACAAACATTCACACATACTACGATGCCCGACTACAAACATTCACACAATACCTACGTATAGCCTTAGATTACAA